CTGGAGGGAGAGAAGTGGGAGATACATGTACATGTAATGCTTAGTATACACTAATGCATTAAAATAGTACCTGCAGCTCTTCTACCAAACAATAGATAATAAGAACTGTCTAGGTTATAATCCTGACCCACATCAGTAACTACGATAGTCCTACTGAAACTAAAGAAAGAAGAGAATGATACTCTTACATAGTAACTTAGTAAGTACCGTATACTGGGAAATTTTTGAGTAGCCAAATTTTCGCGGATTTCATGTTTTCTTGCTCCGTCATGAAAATTAAAACCGTGAAATTCTGAATTTACATTGCCACATGGTGGAGTTTACAAGCTATTCACGAAAATATTATTTCGTGAAATCTTAATTACAAATGCAAAATTTTGCGACGTGAAAATATCCCAGTATATGGTACTGCATATATATATATACCTGCAGGTTATTCTACTGTTAGTGAATGATGTAGATTGAACACACAGTCCATCCTGTGTAGCATCAAGCACATTAGCTTCTTGTCTAGGAGAAGGATTCCATGTATCTACTACTGTTACATTATCAGAGTTAACACGACAACCCAATACATCATCATTCTCCTGTAATATATTTATAAAAAGAGATAGAGTAAGATTAAATTATTAATATACCATTTGTGTGTTTAGGGAGAATCCAATAGCTATCCATCCAGCAGCATTACCCTCAAGATATACATCAAGATAAGTTGGATCTGATGGATTAGGTGACAATCCAACATAATATTCACAAGTACTCCTTTCACATCCTTCAGGCATCCCAAAAACCAAATTATGTGATCCAACAGCCTAAAAAGGCGTAATTGACTCAAATATTAAAGTTTCTGATTATATCATAAATCTCAATAATTATTATTATAGTTATGCATCATGCATAATGAATAATATTTTCTATGACTTACAGTAGTTTGTACTGGGCATATCATAGTATTATTATCTGTCACTACAATAGCTTGAGTAGTAACCTCTGGTGTCTGACTATGCTGGGCTAATGAACTGACACCTAAAACAATGTATAGTAATGATGTTAATAAAAATGATATAAAAATAATAGTAATAGGTTTTGTTAATTTTTCAAATGATAATGATCACTACACAAATAAATTTATCTATACGTTTTACATTATTAGTAGCATCTACATGTGCATGTAATTTATATTAATGTACATGTATACCTCCAAAGTCACTGGTTCCATACAGCTGAAATAACGAGGCACCCAAGTTCAAATCATTATCGGCATCACCTGTGTTTATCAATCGACTGAACCTGTATATTGAGAAATTGTATACAAACAAGGTAGCAAAAATTAGCTCAGGAATACATGCATACTATTATTGCCTCCGCATACATGTAAAACACATTACAAATTACTATTATTATTGTTGTTATTCTTGTTGTTGTTGTCTATTAATCAATTACATGTGCTATGTATTCATGCATACATTAACACCTCTAATTCATTATTGATCAATGATTATCATTATTGGACCCTGCGCTGGCCGGCTCTATTGTTCATGTTATTATATTATTGATTGATTGTACATGTTTTTAAGAGAAGAGATAATTTTTACTAAAGTTTTCACTGTTATTGCGTGCAAGCAAGCTGCGCGCTTTGGTCAATACT